CACACACACACACACACACACACCACACACACACACCATACAATCGCTACTGCGGACATAACATCGCGTATCGCATATATTCAACGTGTATATATCGTGCCCAATTACGTGCGTAATATGTAAATCGCGGGCGTTTTTCTCGGTGTAGAGAAAGAAGAGCTGAGTCAAAGGGGAACAATAGAAGGAAAAAAAAAGAGGCAGCGGAGGCCTCGTTGAGAAGGCCGACATGCCGTCGGCGAGGAGGTCGTCTCTCGAGGAGTCTCGTGCCTCTCTGAGAGAATCGTAGCCTCCGTCGTGTCGATGGTGGATCATCATTTCTGATGTCATCGCGTGCGCGTATCATCGTCACACGGAACAGGCGACCGTCGCTGTGTCACGGCGGACGATGATCGTCCGGCGTGAGGGACGCGACGTCGTTGCGAACGGAAACGGGAGCGATTTCCGTAAGTTGTCGGAAGTCGCGCCGTGCGGGGAGCGTGTATTCCTCCGGAATACGTGAAGAAAGACAAGCGACCATACGAGCTCGAGAGAAAGAGAAAGAGAGAGGAGAGAAAGGAAGTAGGAAGGAGAGAGACAAGTGGCCATTTACCTTTAAATAAATAATCGTACTCGTCGTCTCGAGTGCCCATCTCGACAGCAATCAGCAACAAGCTCTCAGCGAACCTACGTCAGTTATTCCCGGGGTCGAAACCGCGCTACTGCGACGACGTATGGCTTATATACAAAGGACAGAGGAGGCCAGGAGCCGCCGATTGGCTCCCTTGTGCTCGTCGCTCTCTCGCTTCTACTCGGCTTCGCCGTGGATACACGTTACGATACGGCGATCACGATCGGAGGATCCGCCGTCGCTCGCGGACGATACGGGGGAACGAAGATTAGGGGGAACCGAAGGCGAAGCGCGGGCGCGAGCGATCAGCGACGGCGATACAATTATTTTCGTTCTTTCAATTTAACTGTACAATATGGCCTCCTTTCTACGCCCCTCCAGGGCTTGTCGGAGCGCGCGTGCGCGAACGGCGCGCATGCGCGACCGGACTCACGTTCGCGGTCACTTGAAAACGGAATCCACGAGGACGTGTCCCCCCCGATCTCCGGAAAAACGCGGCAAAATTGATGCATGAGCATGATACATCAATACGCGGTTCGGTGCGGTTTTTTTCGTATTTCGTTCCTTTATTTTGAAGTCCATTTTACATTTTCCCTTCTCGATCATTGCAATTTTTCGTCCAATAATCAATTTTAAGAATATACAGAAGGACCAATCAAAATCGGAGATTTTGCGAATTCTAGGGTCAATTTCATCTCTGATTAATTTATATTCCATTTTTATCAATATAGATTAACTTTAATCTCAGTTTAAATCTATTTTTTACCTTTTTTAATTTTTCAGATCAGAAAAATAAGAAAGCAAATCGAGATAAATTAATTCATATTGGTAGAAATGGACATTAATCGGACATTAATATTTTCTTTGAGATTGACCAATCACGTTTGTCAAATAGTTAATTTTGCAATACGATTGGTGAATTCCAATAGAATAAGCAGTCGATTAAATTAATCAGAGATGATGAGATCAGTTCTTATTAAAGAATTTATCTTCAATGATCTTCAATGATACACAAGACGCCATCTATCTTTATTTCGTTTCTCAGAATTTTGCAAGGATTATTGTTGATAAGATATCGAAAGTAGATAAAGAAGAAGAGAACACTTTTAGGAAAAAAAAAAACGGAAAAAGAGATAACAAACATTTATTAGAAAATAAAATTCATAAAATTTAATATTTAGAAATGTTCAGTCTCTCTTTTTAATAAATTCCTTTTTTTTTAATCCTTTTTAGTAATGTAGCAAGATTTAGATTAACAATAAAATTTTAATATTTTAATATTGTATATAATAATATATGATATAATTTCATTTAGCTAATAAATATATTTAAAGCAATAATTATTATATTTTCTATTTATTTTACAAATAAAATAAAATAAAATCATTTTTATTACACATGTATGCTTTCGAATTAACAATAAAATAAAAAAAATTAAAAAAGATGTAATCAAAAATACACAATAAATCATGAATTTATTTATTAATAATATTTTCGATTATATATAGTGAGTTTGACTCGATGTATAATCAATTAAATTGGATACGTGTCACAAATAAACTCAAGTTTGATTAAAAACATATAAAAAAAGTATAAAATATTAAATTATTAATTGATTTATTGCAAAATAACTTATATAATTTTATTTTTCATATTTTTCTGAAGTATTAATTAAGCATCTATTTGTTTAAACATAATTATGATTATTTGATTGTAACTCTAGTCCAAAATAGATTTAATATCATTAATCGCTCGGAGCGATCAAAATCCAGTTAAAAACGATTTTTAAATATATAACGTATGAAATTTCGAATGCCACAATCTAATCTTTCTTTGTTATTTTTATTCATCGATCTTTGTAATTGTCATGTTCGCATCGAAAATTCGTATCTAAATTATTAAATGACTTAAAAAATAAGAGAGATATAATGTTAATTCTCGAGTGTTCATCAGGCTCCTTAAAATAAATTATGAATGAAATATATTATAAATCCTGTAAATTTTTCTGTTCGATTGTTCGATAAATTATTCTATAAATTTCTTTCGGTAAGAAAATTCTCTTCTTCGTGTTGCCTTCGCGTTGTTTGCTCAACTTGAAAGTTATGCAACGTCGAGAGATCGTTCGAGCTGTTATGGATATTTTATCATCGGAGCACTAAGAAAAAAAATTAGGTGAACATACGTCACTCGCTCTATTCCAGGGTTAAATAGGGATCAATGGTATATTATTCATGTCTCTTCGCTAAATGCGGTCGTTCGATTCTTTAAAGGGCAATATGACGCGCGATCGTCACGGCAAACAAACTCGAAATCGAATGAGATAGCATCGATTAAATTCTGATTAATTTAATTGATCATTAACACATCAAGTAGTACCTAATATTTTATTATAATTATTAATAAATAATAATAATAATTATTATTATTATCAATTTTTTATTGTTTAGCATGTGTGAAAAATAAAATTAGAGTTGAATTATTAATATCTATCATTATATATTAATTTTAATTTTAGTTCAATTTACTCTTTCTCTATTTTTTAAAAATAAAGAAAGATAAAAAATAAATTAAACCGAGATTAAAGTTAATTTAAATTGATAAAAATGAATATGAATAATTACAGTTTGATCTAATTAAAATTACTTTAAATGTAAAATGAAGTATGCAAAATATATTTTTAAGTGTATTTTCATTTCAAAAAAAGAAGTCAACATTTTTAAGAAATAAACGAGACATATTTAATGCTTGCTTTATAATTTTTGTTAATTTTTGTCAAGATTTCGAGAAACAAATCTACATTTCACAATTTATAAAGTCCTCTTTTGACATGCATTTTATTTGCGCATCCTGATTTCTAAAATGCTTTTTACACCGCTAAGTAACAAGTTGTTGTCAAAATGACAGTATTTAAGTATTGTCTTTGTGAGACAACACTTAGTGAAACAACGTTAGCTTACTATCTGGAACGGAATTATAAGAAATTCATCTTGTGATGCGCGAGAAAAAGCTCGGCGGAAATTGAAACGAGGCGCTCATCGAGATTGCGAGTTCCAGCATCCCAGATGGCGCACGCGGATTAATCTCGTTGAATAGATTTCAAGTTTGCTCTCTTACGCGGACGGATGAGAAAAAATTATAATTAGTGAATTGGTCCGCTGCGCTCTCACTATACTGTACTATATTGTTTGATAAGCTTCTGTCAAGTAGCTTGGTCAAAATCGTTCGAGACCGATTCGTGGAATCGTGCGATTACGCGTAGCTTTCTTTTCCGTCAAACGCATATTTTTTAAAGCTTTTCTAATCAAATTAATTATTCCAATACTACAAATATGCAGTAGTTTCGAATTTGTGAATTAATAGAATTGCTTCTGATTTCCGGAAAGCTTGTAATCATAAATAACGGAGATTAACCTCCGACATGTCAGCGTCCGAAACGGCGGTGATTTTCGCGAAGCTGGAAGCTTTAAAAGACATTAGGTATATGAACGCAATATTTTTTTTGTGATACGATTTTTCTCTTGTATATTGAGGATTTATTTGTGCTTTCGTGCCGTTTCCTTTGTATCCTCTCAGGTCAAAAACTCTTCAATTGGAGAAACTGAAACAGAGGATATTGCAAGAAGTGGAACAAACCGAACAAGAAGAAAAATGTTTATTAGAGTACAAGCAAGAAATGGACTTACTAATGCAGGAGAAAATGGCACACGTAGAGGAATTGCGTCAGATACATGCAGATATCAATGCGGTGAACTTACATTGCTCGTTACTTTATTATTCCTGCAAATAAGATAAAATAGAATTATATGAGATATATTGAAGCTACTTGAAATCATTATATCTTGTTAGATGGAATCGGTGATCAAGCAAGCAGAAGAAGCACGTAATAGGGCAAGGGAAACTGCGAAATTGATTCATAATAATGATTATCAACCATTGAAACATGACATTGATCGTATGCGCAGAGAATTTTTAGGTTTGGAAAGATTACCAGAGTTGTATGAAACTGAATCAGATCTTATCTCGCCTGAGTAAGTACACAAATTATCGCAAAGTTATTAAAGATCAGCTGTAAGAAGAAAACATCTAGTACTAGCTGATAAATGAAATTATGTACTGAGCTGAGTTAAACTTTTATTGTGTAGACGGTTTGTTCATAGTTACTTTGAACGTCCGATGCAAAAGGCAGAATGGAGAGTAGAGGTACGAGGTGACGATTTATTACCACCACTTGGATTACACCATCCTGGGCATCCAGGTGGTTCTACACCTTTTCTAGCTCCGCAACCACTTCAAGGGCCAAGCAAACCAGAGCCTAGGCCGTTACCGCCAGCCCCAGGGCCACCCGCTCCAACATTCAGGTACCACTGGTATATCTCGTCCCCTTATTATATCTTTTATGTAAAATTGAAAAATTAACTATTATTATTGTGTTTATAATAAAGAATATTTCTATCACTTCACAGGCAACAACCACCACCTATGAAATCTTGCCTTTCGTGTCATCAACAGATTCATAGGAATGCACCAATTTGTCCACTTTGTAAAGCAAAATCACGTTCACGTAATCCTAAGAAACCAAAGAAGAAAGATTAATTATAATTATAAGATAATTTATATGAATATATATAACCTGCATTTCTACAATTCATCTTAAAAAGAGATATATTAATCATTTTTGTAATCCATAGTAAGAATGCACTCTTATTGTATCATTAGCATTTATAAGTGATAAGCACAGCATTTATAAGACTCTATGTGTTTATAATGTGTCAATTTTTCATCAATTTGACAATTGCTTTTTTTAGAGTTGGTTTTATTATATTCGCGTTATGAGTATGTAAGAAGAAATGTAAGAAATGATAGTCAAATAATTTCTAATGCAATAATGAAATAAAAAAATTTAATATTTAATAACCAGTTTGATTTATCTTTATTAATTATCAAAAATATATATTGGCGCATTATAATATTCTAAATATTTATTTAATAACATATATTTCTTTATTGTTAATCTCAAAAATAAATTAATGTTTATAATCAAATAAGGATAATACGAATTATTTATCATAATTTCATATTTGTCATTTTATTTTCATTATAGTTTATAAAATGTAATAGAAATATATATACATTTTGATCTGCTATTAAGTATGTTTCAATTACTTTCTGTCTACAAATAGAGAAAAATATGTGCCCATTCATATACATATATATGTGTTTATGCAGAACGCTGAATATTTCCGCAATTGTGTAAGTAAAATAATTTTTTCAATCTTATAATTTCTCGAAGAAATAAATCTTTAATTTTATATCTGTTACTTAAAATGATCGTAATTGCACTAGACGTTTAGTTAGACATCAGCTCTGATCATCATTTCTATAAAGCTCAAAGATTTGACAATCTCATCATTGTTTGTCGGAATCAAAAATTCATGCGGAATTCATACTAAAAGATGCTAATTCCATATTTAATAAGTAATTAGATAATACATGAACGCATGTCATTCTGCAAATATTTTCGATGTTACTTACGTATTTCAGAATATAACAATTTGTAAAATATAAATCGCTATATGTGTATCTATAATTTAATTATATTTAAAAAAATATATAGTCCATTTCTTTTTATCGTACAATATCATTATTTTCATTCGAGTTTTGCTATTGTATTCGCCACAGCAACGATACCTTTAACTATAATTTTCTAATATTGAACATAAAATATTTTTTTTATCACAATTATTTATGATTGTCTTTCAAAATAATTATTAAAATATATTAGAATTAGCAGTAATATCTATGCGCCTGTGCATAATATCGATATTCATTTCTTCATTAATATAAAACTAAGTTTTAAAAATTTTTATTTAGTTAGATCAGTCTTTTAAGTTACATGAAAGAACAGACTGTATCTTTTTATACTTTTGCATTGATTTATGTTGCATTTACATTACATCTGTAAGCAAATAATAAAGTAAAGCAATTCATAAATGTTGTAATAATCTAACGAGCATTTTAACATTTAAATGTAGTTTGAGCGAAAATAATTATTGCACTATATATAATAACAATAAAAATATTTAAAAAGAAAAAAGAATTGATCAAGCTTTAAGCAATCACATAATACATAATTAAAAAACAATTTCATAATATTGCATAATATTTGTTATAATTTAACGCATTTGTATATAATATTATTCTCTTAATTTCGAAGAGATATGGCGCGCTATTATATACTATTCTAATATGAATTTGTACATTTTACTAAAATTCTTAGACAGCTTCCTATACAGTTTCTTAAGCTATAATAAATTTTAAAATTTATAAAAGACCAAAAAGGTGTATAAAAATGTTCATAAGACCTAGATTATTGCAGAAAATTCACTTTTGTAAATTTTTAAATGTCAAGTATGGAAATTACTCTTGATAAGAGTAATTTGATAAAAATGTTTGTAGACTTAGAAAATCAATATGTGTAAGACTTACAATTTGTACCAGTATTTGTCTATGTATACATATGGTATTTTCTCTAAAAGATATTATCAGCACTAATAAGTATATATTGTGCATTTTAGAGTGACGTACAATATTTCTTTTTAAGGAAAAATATAAAAATACTGGAAAAATATAAACTATCATATAAATTATATATAATAGTCCACATGAATGCATCTATGGCAAGTCTAGAATTTTTATGATTCAAGTCATACATGTTAACATTTAATATCATATTACATTTAATATTAATAATCCGAATTTATATAAGTAAAATAATATATATAAGTAAAAAAGTATAAACTAATTATACTTTTAAATTTTAAGCATGTTATGAATCTTTTTATTTCAAAATCATAATATTTAATTTAGAATTATATATTTATAATTATATTAAAATATCAATTTTTTGATCATATTTAGTAAAATATATAACTTTGCGTAAAATATCTATACATTTAAAGAATGTAATAATCTGAAAACAACATTCTAACATACACATATATAAAAAATATAGATTATTGTATTGCTATCTTAATGTTTCTTGATAATTAAACAAATTAATTATGGCAGTTGCACATTGCATTCACAAAAAGATAAATTTTTTTCTCAACATATAACTTTCATTATCACAATTTACTGATGTTCCTTTAAACTATACAGCTTCATGTGATGTTTGAATATTATCAGATCTTAAATGAACTAATGGAATTTCGACATCTTTTCTTTGCATATTTGGTGCTTCATTGCACTGAACATTTTTCTTTAATTCTGGTGCAATCAAACGCTTATTCACAATTTGTAGCCATATCATGGAAATAATTAGCATTAAGCCAGTAATACCAAAAATATGATATGTTCCTAAGCGAGTATAAATGTAACTTACAAATACAGGGCCTAAACCACGAGATGCACATCCTGCACCTGTCATTAGACCCATCCATACGCCTTGTGGACGTGGGCCGAGAATTTTACTAAATATAGTTTGTATCAAAGTAACTCCTAAAGGATAACCTATGGATGTAAATCCATAACCGATAAGAAATTGAGTAATCGTGATTTGTGGAGTGTATAGGCACCATTCCTGAGTAATAGGACATCCTACAATTTCTGTACCATTGGCATCTTCCGTTATATTGTTATATGCTATAATATATTGAAACATTTTTATTACAAAACTATTATATAAAAAATTATAAATGTAAACACACAAAATTGTAAATGTAAAAGTATACAACTTAAACTATTTACTTATTTAATAGATACTCACGTCCGAAATCTGCAATTTTAGGGGGATCGGGACCCCATGGAATACATAGTACTCGTCCAATTATCATGAAAAAAATCCACCCCATAGCATTATTTTACGTTCTTCAAATCTGTAAAAAAATTATAATATATACTTTATTTAATAATATATAGAAAGTTAATAATATTTGTAATATATAAATATTAATTATTTAAATATATTGAAAAGATTGAAAATCTTTACTAAAGCTTTTACCTTTTACAAAGCGGTCCTATCATGGTAAATGTAATACAAGCTATCACAGCTCCAACGCTCATTAGA